AAGTAATCCTCCCTTCTTAGCCTCCCAAAGTGCTGGGATTATATGTAGGAGCTACTCTGCCCATCAAGTTTTTTCTTTTTTCTTTTGAGTTGGAGTCTCACTCTGTCGCCCAGACTGGAGTGCAGTGGCTGCTCCCGGCCACCGCAGCCTCGACCTGCTGGGCTCCGGCGATCCTTCCGCCTCAGCCTTCCGAGTAGCCGGAATTTATAGGCATGTGCTACCACGCCTGGCTGATTTTTTTATTTATTGTAGAGGTGAGGTCTCGTTCCCCAGGCTGGTCTTGAACCCGCGGGCTCAGGCAATCCACTCACCTCAGCCTTCCAAAGGCACGGGATTACAGGCTGAGCCACCGAGCCCGGCTCTTTTTTTTTTTTTTTTTTTGAGTTGGAGTCTCACTCTGTCACCCAGACTGGAGTGCAGTGGCCACTCCCGGCCACCGCAGCCTCAACCTGCTGGGCTCCAGCGATCCTTCCGCCTCAGCCTTCCAAGTAGCTAGAACTACAGGCGCACGCTACCACGCCTGGCTCATTTTGATTTATTGTAGAGATGAGGTCTCGCCAAGTTGCCCAGGCAGGTCTCGAACCTGCAGGCTCAGGCAATCCACTCACCTCAGCCTCCCAAAGGTGGGGAATTACAGGCTGAGCCACCGAGCCTGGCTAAGTTTTTTCTTTAATGCTTTTTGTGGCCTATCTAGAAAATCTTCACCTATTTCGATGTCAAAAATCTTCTCCTGTTTTCTTCTATAAGTTTTATAGATGTAGTTCTTCCATTTAGACCCATGATCCGTATCAAATTGTTTTTTGTATGTGATGTAAGTTAGGGTTTGAGATTTATTTTTTGCATATGGCTATTGAATTGTTTTAGCATTATCTATTTAAGATTTATCATCCCCCATTGAATTATCTTAGAATCTTTGTCAAAAATCAAATTACATACTGTGTTGCTCTGTTTCTAGATTGATTCTTTTGATATATGTGTCTATCCTTAAATGTCCATATCATACTGGCTCAATTATTGTAGCTTTATAATAATTCTTAAAATTAGGGAGTGCACATTTTCCAACTTTGTTCTTTTTCAAAATATGTATTTTTTTTTAGTTTAGTCCTTTGACCATTTTAATCTTTGAGTTTTACTATTAGTTCTTTTTCTTAATTTCAAAGATGTGGGGTACAATTCAGGGTTAGGTGCGTAAGTGGTCATCGTACAGCTAAAGGTTGAATACCCGTATTTATGTTATGTGTCCTCCCTCCTCTGGCAGTGTCCCACTACTGCCAATCCCTCTTATAGTATCATGATAAATGTTCAGGGTCTGCTTATGAGTGAGTACATGTGGTACTCAGATCTTTGTTTCTGTGACAAATCACTGAATAATATAGACTCTAAATCCATCCAAGTTGCTACGAAGTTCATAATTTTGTTTTACTTTATGGCTGCATAGTATTTCATCGTGTATATGTACCACATTTTCTTTATCTAGTCCACTTTTGATGGGCAGCATGGTTGGTTCCATGTTTTTACTATTGTGAATAATGCTGCAATAAACATATGTGTGCAGGTATCTTTTTTATAGAGTGATTTGAGTTCCTCCAGGTATATTCCCAGAAGGGGAATTGCTGGGTCATATGGAAGGTCAATTTTTATATCTTTTAAAAATCACCACACTGTTTTCCACAGAGGTTGTACTAATTTATACGCCCATCAACAGTGTAGGAGCATTCCCTTTTCCCCACATCCTCTCCAGCATGTGTTGTTTTTGAGTAATTGATGATGGTCATCCTGACTGGAGTTAGGTGGTATCTCAGTGTGGTTTTGATTTTTGTTTCTTTGATGATTAGTGAGGTTGAGTATTTTTTCATGTGCCTGTTGGCAATTTTTTTTTTTGAGTTGGAGTTTCAGTCGCCCAGGCTGGAGTGCAGTGTCACACTCACAGACACCCCAGTGTAGACCTGCTGGACTTTGGCAATCCTTCCGCCTCAGCTTTCCAAGTTGGTGAAACTACAGGCACACGCTACCCCGCCTGGCTAATTTAAAAAAAATTTTTTTATTGTAAAGACAAGGTCTCGCCAAGTTGCCCGGGCTGGCCTTGAACCTTCAGGCTCAGGCAATCTACTCGCCTCGGCCTCCCAAAGTGCTGGGATTACAGACTGAGCCACCAAGCCCAACCAGCAAAATATTTTAAAAATATTCTAGGTTCTTTGAATTTCCATATAAATTTTAGAATCAGTTTGTTATTTTCTATGAAGCCCGTGAGGATTTAGATTGGGATTACAGTGAATTCATAGATCAGTTTGAGAAGAAACCAAAATAAGTTTAAAATAGGGAACTGTTAGAGGCATCTTCTCCTTATATTAGCCTAACATTAGCCTCATAGATCAGTTTGGGAAGAAACCAAAATAAGTTTAAAATAGGGAACTGTTAGAGGTATCTTCTCCTTATATTAGCCTAACATTAGCCTTTCCCTTAAGGATTCTATTTAAATTTCTTGTATTGAAGTAAACATTTCGCTCTAAATTATATTTAATGACTAATACCAACTAGAGATTAATTTTTTTTTTTTTTTTTTTTTTGAGTTGGAGTCTCACTC